CCCCAAAACACCCCAAATCTGCCCCAGAATGCCCCAAATCTTCCCCAGAATGCCCCAAATCTGCTCCAAAACACCCAAATCTGCCCCAAAATACCCCAAATCTGCCCTGAAACACCCAAATCTGCCCCAGAACGCCCCAAATCTTCCCCAAAACACCCAAATCTGCCCCAAAACACCCAAATCTGCCCCAAAACACCCAAATCTGCCCCAAATCACCCCAAATCTGACCCAAAACGCCCCAAATCTGCCCCAGGACACCCCAAACCCGCCCTGGAATGCCCCATATGCCCCAAAACACCCCAAGTCTGCCCCAGGACACCCCAAATCTGCCCCAAAACACCCCAAATCTGCCCAAAATGCCCCAAATTTGCCCCAGGACACCCCAAATGTGCCCTGAACACCCCAAATTTGCCCCAAATCTCCCCAAACCCGCCCCAAATCTCCCCAAACCCACCCTGGAACGCCCCAAATTTGCTCTAAATCACCCCAAAACCGCCCCAATTCCACCAAGTTTCCCTTTAACCCCCCAGAACATTCCCCAGAACGCCCAGGCCGAGCTGGGTTTCCCGCAGGAACATCAAATCTGCTCCCGGGGGAGAGAGAAAATCGTTAAATGAGGGGATCTGAACCCAAAAAAGGCCGGGAGGGGCTTGGGGAGCTCCGGAATCCCAAATTCAGCTCCCACCCCAAAGCTGCGGCAGGAAATCGCTGCCAGAGAGGGGGGAAAAAAGTGGGAATTTCACCCCAAATCCCAGCTGGGCTTTGCCAGGAATCTCCTGGGAATTCCCCCTTTTATGTTTTTGGGGGGAAAAAGCGGAATTTTGGTACCGCTTTGTCCTCCTTGGGCAGGTCCGGGCAGGGGAAGGGAGGCTGAGGATACACGAAGGCGTGGGAGACGTCGCGGAGCGAGGGCACCAGCACCAGCTGGCAGCCAGAACTGCGGGAAAAGAGGGGAAAAAGAGAGAGTTTTGGGGTGAAAAACGACGTTTTTGGGGAAAAAATTCCCATTGGGGAATATTTTGGGGTTGTTTCTGTGGTCACCTCCTGGTGCCCTCGATGATGGTCCTGAGGCAGAGCTGGAAAACATCGGAGAAGGAGCTCAGGAGTTGGCAGCTCTGGATTGGGGGAAAACAAGAGGGATTTGGGACAATTGCTGAGGTTTTTGGGGGGATTTGGTGCTGCCCCAAATCCTCAGGGATTGAGGGGGGTTTTGGGGGGATCTCACCTCCACCTGCTCGTGTTTGGCGTCCAGGAACGGCCCAAGCTGCGGAAAAATGGGGAAAAATGGGGGAAAAAGCAGCAAAATCACCCCCAGAAAAATCAGTTTTAATTAATTCTAAGAATTCTCGTGAATGAACCCCAAATTTCAGCCCCCAGAAAAATCATTTTTAATTATTTCCATGAATTCTCGTTAATTAACCCCAAATTTTGTTAATTAACCCCAAATTTCAGCTCCCAGATTTTTAATTAATTTTAAGAATTCTCGTTAATGAACCCCAAATTTCAGCCCCCAGAAAAATCATTTTTAATTAATTCTAAGAATTCTCGTTAATTAACCCCAAATTTCAGCCCCCAGAAAAATCATTTTTAATTAATTCTAAGAATTCTCGTGAATTAACCCCAAATTTCAGCCCCCAGAAAAATAATTTTTAATTAATTTTAAGAATTCTCGTTAATTAACCCCAAATTTTGTTAATTAACCCCAAATTTCAGCCCCCAGAAAAATCATTTTTAATTAACTCTAAGAATTCTCATGAATGAACCCCAAATTTCAGCCCCCAGAAAAAACATTTTTAATTAATTCTAAGAATTCTTGTTAATTAACCCCAAATTTTGTTAATTAACCCCAAATTTCAGCCCCCAGAAAAATAATTTTTAATTTTAAGAATTCTCATTAATTAACCCCAAATTTCAGCCCCCAGAAAAATCATTTTTAATTAATTCTAAGAATTCTTGTTAATTAACCCCAAATTTTGTTATTTAACCCCAAATTTCAGCCCCCAGAAAAATCATTTTTAATTAATTTAAGAATTCTCATTAATTAACCCCAAATTTCAGCCCCCAGAAAAATCATTTTTAATTTTAAGAATTCTCATTAATTAACCCCAAATTTCAGCCCCCAGCCCCAAAATTTCAGAGCAAAACGAGGCCAAAAAGGGGAAATTGCTGCTCAGGCAGGAGTGAGGATTTGACTCTGAGGGCAGCTCAGAGTTTGGTTTTTTTTTTTGCTCCTAAAATTGAGCTTTTCTGTCATTTTGGGGTGAGAAATGAGGATTTTGGGCATTCTCAGGGTACAAAATAAAAGATTTGGGCTCTCCTGGGGTGAAAAATGTGATTTTTGGGGGTGAGAAATGGGATTTTGATGCGAATTTTGGTGGGTTTGGAGCCTCCCCAGCGGGGTCGGGGTGAGGAGAGGGTTAATGAGGGGAAGTTAATTAATTATTAGGGGTTAATGAGGGGCCTCACCAGGATACAGAGGTCGGGGCGGTCGCGGGCCACCACGTCCAGGAGGTCACTGAGGGGCTCGAAGGCGACGCCGTCCGAGGGCGTGAAGGGGCCACAGGCCACCAGCACCATCCTCTGCCCTGGGGAAAATCGGAGATTTGGGGGCAAAAACGCGGATTTGGGGAGAAAAAAGGGATTTTTGGGAGGAAAGGGGAGGATTTGGGGGGAAAAGGGGAAGGTTTGGGGAGGAAAAAGGGATTTTTGGGGAAAAAAAAGCCATTTTTGGGGAGGATTTGGGGAGAAAAGAACCATTTTTGGGGAGGAAAGAAGAGGATTTGGGGAGGAAAGAGGAAGTTTTGAGGAGAAAAAAGCCATTTTTGGGAGGAAAGGGGAGGATTTGGGGGGAAAAGGGGAAGGTTTGGGGAGGAAAAAGGGATTTTTGGGGAAAAAAAAGCCATTTTTGGGGAGGATTTGGGGAGAAAAGAACCATTTTTGGGGAGGAAAGAAGAGGATTTGGGGAGGAAAGAGGAAGTTTTGAGGAGAAAAAAGCCATTTTTGGGAGGAAAGGGGAGGATTTGGGGGGAAAAGGGGAAGGTTTGGGGAGGAAAAAGGGATTTTTGGGGAGAAAAGAACCATTTTTGGGAGGAAAGAGGAGGATTTGGGGAGAAAAGAGGAAGTTTTGGGGAGGAAAAAGCCATTTTTGGGGAGAAAAGAACCATTTTTGGGGAGGATTTGGGGAGGAAAGAGCCATTTTTGGGAGGAAAGAGGAGGATTTGGGAGGAAAGGGGAGGATTTGGGGAGAAAAGAGGAAGTTTTGGGGAGGAAAAAGCCATTTTTGGGGAGAAAAGAACCATTTTTGGGGAGGATTTGGGGAGGAAAGAGGCGTTTTTGGGAGAGAAAGGGAGAGTTTAGGGATGAATAGGGATGGAAAATGTGGGGAGGGAAAATGGGGAGAAAAAGAGGCTGGGGGTGACAAAAGTGGGGGATTTAGGGCCAAAAAGGGAGATTTGGGATTCAGAATGGGGGTTTGGGGGGGAAAAAAGGAGTTTGG